ACCTCTAATGATTTTGAGAGCCACTACCAAGAGTATGGAATCACTCATGTGATCATGACACAGTATACTCCTCAGCACAATGGACTTGTAGAAAGAAGGAACATGATGATTCTTAATATGGCCAGGAGTATGATAAAGGATAAAGCATTGCCACGAAAGATGTGGGATGAGGAGGTGTCCATAGTTGTCTACCTTCTTAAAAAGTGTCCAACGAAGAAGTTAGAAGGGAAAGTGCCCTTTGAAGAGTGGATAGGTGAGAAACCGACAGTTGGCCACTTTAAGGTGTTTGGATCACTTGCTTTTGTGCATGTACCTAACCAGAGAAGATCAAAGCTGAAAGATAAGAGCGAGACAATGATATTCAATGGCTATCACCCTAATAGAGCTTATAAGCTCTTCGATCCAATTAAAGAGAAAGTTGTCTTGAGCAGAGATGTGATGATCATAGAGGATGAGAGTTGGGAATGGAAGAAGAAGAAAACCAATTTGGTGAAGACTACAATAGTTGGAGAAGTTGATAATTCCATCTCAAAAGAGCAAGAGGCAATCTCTGAAAGTAGTAGAGGTGTACAGAACTGTGAAAATGGTGGACCACGAAGACGACATGTGCTGCCACAAAGGTTTAGTGAATGTGAAGTGTATACAGATACACAGATTGGTGATGAAGAAGACTTGGTTCATATGGCCTTGTATGCAGGAGCAGAACCAATAGATGAGGTTGAAGCATTAAAACCTGTGTGGAGAAATGCAATGAGAGAAGAAATTGATTCTATTGAGAAGAATGGAACTTGGCAGTTTGTTGATCTTCTGGTTGGGAAGAAGAGTATTGGAGTAAAGTGGATGTTCAAACAAAAGCTGAAGCTTGTGGATCAATTTCCAAGCACAAAGCTAGGCTGGTTGCAAATGGCTTCCTTCAAAGGCAAGGCTTCGATTTTTCTGAAGTGTTTGCACCAATAGTGAGAATAAAAATCATTCGGTTGGTGATTGCAGTGACAAGTTCAAGAAGTTGGGCATTGTTCCAACTTGATGTGAAGTCAACATTTCTTCATGGACCTTTGAAGGAGGAGGTATACGTCTAGCAGCCTCCTGGATTTATTAAAGAAGGTAAAGAACACCAAGTCTACAAGCTGTAGAAAGCGATGTACGGGCTGAGACAAGTTCCCAATAAACGTATCGACTCCTTCTTAGTTAAGCTAAAATTCACCAGATGTATTGTTGAACATGGTGTCTATGTGAAGGGAGGCACATGAGAGGATCTGCTAATCATCTGTTTATATGTGGATGATTTTCTCATCACAGGCTCCAATTCAGCTCACATAGAAGAATTCAAGAGAGTGATGCCGACAAAGTTTGAGATGACGAACCTGGGTAGGCTAAGCTACTTTCTTGGGATGAAATTTACTTACACTACTGTAGGATTAGTGTTGCATCAGAAGAAGTACACTAGAGAATTGTTGAAAAGATTCAATATGTCATTATGCAATGCTGCAAGGAGTCCAATGGAAGTTAATCTGAAATTGGTGAACGATGAATTAGAAGAAGGGGTAGATGAGACAATATTCAAACAAATGATCAGATCATTGAGGTTTCTCTGCAACAACAGACCAGATCTATCATTCTGTGTAGGTCTGATAAGCAAATTCATGGGCAACCCGAAGAAGACTCATATGCTTGCTTCCAAGGCACATCTGATCATGGAATACTATTTCCTGTTGGGAGACAAAACTCAGAATTGGAGTTGGTTGGTTACATCGATTTTGATCATGGTGGTGATCTAGTGGAGAGGAAAAGCACATCCAGATATATATTTTTGTTGAACAATGTTGCCATCTCATGGTGTTCTAAGAAGCAACCTGTAGTTGCTTTGTCTAGTTGTGAAGTAGAATGCATTGTTGGGAGTTTTGCAGCTTGCCAAGGAGTTTGGCTTGAAGAATTACTAAAGGAAATAAGGGTGCCTGTAAAAACCCCTTTGCAACTAAGGATAGATAATGTTTCTACCATAAATCTATCTAAGAATCCTGAGTCATGGCAGAAGTAAACACATAGAAGTGAAGTACCACTTTTTGAGAGACTTGGTAAACAAAGGAAGAATAGTTTGTCTTACTGCAAAATTGAAGAACCATTGGCTGACATTTTTACCAAGGCTTTCAAGGTTGAAAGTTTTGATTTTCTAAAGAAGAAAATTTGTATTATCTCCCTAGGTGCTTGTTTTAGAGGGGAGTATTAGTACACATACATTAAGCCAAGACAACTGTTACACAGACAATTATACATCTGTTTCCTTATAAAATAACATCTGTACAAAGTGCAATATACACTTTTACATTTTCATAAAGTAGTATTATGAAAACCTTTCTTTCTTGCTATTGTTTCTCGTTCTAACATTTATTTATATTGTTATTATTGTTGTAGTGTTATGAATTAACAATTTTGTATAACTAATTAATGATTATTTTTAGAAATGATTCATTTGAAAGAAATTACATAATTGTAGGTTAAACATATTTCATAACAATCTTCTTGTCAAGGACGAGTCTACCGATATATTCATTTTCAAGTGAAATATATACAATGACTTTTATTTATATAGTTGTTATTGTTATAGTATTATGAATAAGTCACTATGTATAATTAATGGTTTTTTTAGAGATGATTCATTTGAAAGAGATTACATAATTGTGTATTGAGCACAACCCACTTTGATAATTTTTAACCTAAAACTTCGAAAATAATGTATTTTTGAGTGTTCTTTTTAAGTTCTTATTTCTACCTAGTATAAGCACTTTATTTCATACTTGAGTTTCCGACTATGTGTTTCATAGTGATTCAAGAGAGAGTTTCTGTCAAGAATTATTTGTCACACTAAATTACTAACTACACCCTCTGGTTTCTATTTACATATTAAATATATTTTGTATCTGAGATTACCGAGACCAGATTTAAAGTTTCTCATTTGTAAGTTCATAACAGACTACCACAAAGGCATAGGATACAACCGTTAGTTAGATTTATGATTTAGATATAAACTTTGCAATAGATATAAACTTTGCAATAAAATAAAATGATCAATAGATATAAACTTTGCAATAAAAACTATATGGGCTTTAATTTCTTTAAAATGATTTTCGTGTGATAATTTGTGTGTTTTAAGATATCAGTCTAACTGACATGTGATAATATATAGTGATAATCACCGTAAGTTTTATATAAATAAAGTTTCTTCAAAATTGAACATTTTTTCTTTACTAAATTATCCCTATTCCAATATTATTTTGAAGATCCAAATAGTTAAATTAATTAAAACAAAATACGAGAAAAGAGTTTCTTTATGGTGAAAATCAGTTAGTTGCATATTAGGTGTCAAGGAGTGTTTATGTAATGTGTTTCAACAGAAACAAAAACCAAACCATTATTAGAGGTGCTATTAGTATATTGAAGGATTTTTGTGAGTTCTTCTTTTTAAAGTCTATTTGTTTTTTCTTTCTTTGAAAGCAACACACAGTTTCCACTCTGATCCCTCTAATTCTAAGCAGCTGCCCATTTTTCCAATTCCACATCTGCATGAACTTTGCAAGCACTAAACAGAATCTTCAAACAATTGCATTAAGTTCAATGTTCATGGAGGCAATAAATCAAACACTTCCCAACTCCAACACCTCCTTCAAGACACCATGCATATAACCATTGATAAATGCATTTTCCATTCCAACTAACATCCCTCATAGGATCCTCATACTGCATTTCCACATGCTTTTGTGTATCTTGTGATCATCGCATTCTGTGGTACCAACTCTTTATTCGACATTTCATCAAACAGTTTTTGTGCAACACTAAAGTCCCTTCTTTGAGCTTACTCAGCAATGAGTGCAGACCAAGCAACCGCACCCATTTATCTGAATCATAAAAAGGTTCAGTTGCATCCTTCAAGTCTCCACATTTAGCATGAAAATCCAAAAGGGTGTTCCTCAAAACCACATATTAACCAGACCAAAACCTCACCCAACATGAACCACTTTATACCCTAAAATTTCTGGGTGCAAATCTTATCTGAATGACGTGGTTTTTATCCTCAATCCCAATATTTAAATATTTTAAATAAATACAAATTAATCTGTTGACATAGTCATATTATATATTACAATTTTCTATTTGATAACACTGGAGGATGTTAACAAAAACGGCATATATTGAGTCACATGATTTTTAATTTTTTTCTTAACCAAGCAATAGTTGAAAAACACTAATTGACATTTTCTTAATCTTTTAGTGATTAAAAAAATTGTAACAAATACTTTATTTATTGAATATTTTTATGAGCTTAATTTAGATATTATTATACAAATTATCACTATAAGTACACTTAATACATTTATTTATTTCACATCATATTAATAATTAAACACGATCAAATAATTAATAATCTCGTAGGATATTTGTATACAATATCCTCTATGAATAGCAACTAATGAAATTTCGTGTATAGCTGTTGCCATCAATGTTCAAACAAAAAATTGCAACAATATTACACTACTTTATTGTATAAAATTTTTGCCATCTTCTTCATTGATCTTAAACGCCATAAAATATCATGGAAAATGTTTGATAGATACTTTTGACATATTAACACCTGAAAAGCATAAAAGAGAAAAATAATAAATATATCAACCAATAAATTTACGACACATTCAATAATCTATACAAAAATTTATGACACACTTTTTAACTTTTTATTATTGCCACATGCAAAACTGTATGTAGAAAAAGTGCGAAAAATAGTATTAGATTAATTGCATTTTATAAAGTATCTTTTTAATCAGCAGAATTCTTGGCATACTGTTTTAAGAATTAAAAATATAATTTTTATCAGAGATTATATTAAAACAAATTTAGAAACATAAACAAACATGTTCCTTCCTGCATCTTAATAAAGACATGATTTTTCAGTTGGAAATTTACCATTTTAGAACTGAAATATTAAAGAATGAAAAAATATCTGTTCTTTCTTTCCTGAGGTGTCTGAATTTTTTTCTTTCTTTTGTCCAATAATAGCAAGACCCTTAATTTTCCACAATGGGGAGTTACAGCAAGTGAGGGAAGCACTTTTCACAAGTCTTCCCGTTTGTATGGTCCAAGTCTTCACCTCTTTAGCTTGGAAATTGTTGGCTTTCCCTTCTTTGACCCGTTCCACTCTGTTTTTTCTCTCTCCCATTCACTTCCACACTATCATCTGAACACTGAAAGGTAGCTTCTTTGTTCACTTTTATGTGCAAATTTTTCTGCTTTTCATTTTCTGCTGTTTACTTAGTGTGTGTGGTTTCTTGGGCAGAGTAGAGTTTCCGGAAAGGTTCTTGGGGTTTCCTGAATTGGGTTGTCAGAAAACCAAGGTGGGTATTTGAGCACTTCTGCAAAATTTGTTTTTTCCCATTTCGTATGTTGAATGAACTCTCCTGGGTTTCTTCCTCTGTCAATTATTCTTGCTTTGCTAGAGTGTGAGCTTTGGTCGACGACTTGAATGTTTTTTTTTTCTTTTTCTTGTTGCTATTGCTTATGTTTACTTTGGATGGTTGACTTGGTTTGTGTGCACTGCTGAACTGTGTTCTTTTTGTTTACTTTACCATTGGTTTTCAGTAAGTGTTCTTGAGAGGGTTGTAGTGCTATGGAGTTTATATGTGGTGCTGTGGCTTGGATTGGATAACAATCTAAGTGGCTTGTAGTCAGTTGCGGTGAGAAGTTGTGATATGTTTTTTTGGTCCTTTTCATATTTTAGGACACAACATAGATACGGTGTTACTTTTCCATCGTAATTGCTGGTTTTCCCCGAAATTCTATGTTCATCTTTAGTTCAAACCTTTTATCATGTGGATTTGCATTGTAAACATTCCAATTCTATGTTCATCTTTAGTTCATAAAGAACCGAATCCAGGTTTTGCCCTGTATTTTTTTTTTAAAAGCTTATGTTAGGCATCACTGTGAATTTTGGCATCTTAGCAAAACTGACACTCAAAGTCCATCAATTATGTGCCATCAAATGAAAAACTACATACAAAGAAGAAAAACAAATACCAAAACATGGGGACCTAATCAAACCTATGCAAGAAAATATACAAAAGCAAACTCCGTCCAAAAGGGTCAAAAAAATAGGTAATTAGGGAGTTGATACATATTATGAAAAATTCCAGATTTTGTCCTTACTATTGATTTTTTTACCTTTTGATATTTGACTGGGTTTGTGTGAGATGCTGAACTGTGTTTTCTGCATTTTTCAGGCTGTTCATGGAAGCGTAGTAGTGCTATGGGGTTTGTATGCTTTGCCGTTGCTTAGATTGTATAGTCATCTTGGTGAGGTGTCTGCATTACTTTCTCTTGGCTTGTGTTTAGGATCTTGGTGAAGATGGTGCTGCATAGCCGGATTTTCAGTTACCATGTTGTTAGTTTCTTGTTGCTGATTAGTTGTGGCATGAACTATGGAACCGATACTGATATTTTCTGCCTACAAAGTATAAAAGATGCCCTTGAGGATCCCAATAACTATTTGAAGTTTTCTTGGGATTTCAACAACAAAACTGAAGGGTTCATATGTAGGTTTATTGGGGTTGAGTGTTGGCACCCTGATGAGAACAGGGTCTTGAATCTCAAACTGTCAAATATGGGACTCAAGGGCCAGTTTCCTCGTGCCATTCAAAATTGCTCTAGCTTAACTGGGTTAGACCTTTCAATTAACAAACTCTCTGGAACCATTCCGGGAGATATATCTACTCTTGTACCATTTGTGACCTCTTTTGACCTTTCTTCAAATGAATTTTCTGGGGCGATTCCGGTGACTCTTTCAAATTGCACCTTTCTCAATAGCCTTAGACTTGATCAGAACAGACTCACTGGTCAAATTCCTCTACAATTTGGTATTCTCCCACGGCTCAAGACCTTTTCTGTGTCTAACAATCTTTTGACGGGGCAAGTTCCAAGCTTTAACTCTTCAGTTTCAGTGAATTATGCAAATAATCAAGGCCTGTGTGGAGGTAATGGATTGGGGTCTTGCCAAGCCAAGAATTCTAAGAGTAACATGGCTGTTATTGCTGGAGCTGCTGCAGGTGGGGTGACTCTTGCAGCATTAGGATTGGCTGTTGCAATGTTTTTCTTCGTGCGACGTGTTTCTGTCAAGAAGAAGGAAGAGGACCCTGAAGGAAACAAATGGGCAAGAAGTCTAAAAGGAACTAAACAAATTAAGGCAAGCTAAATTATTTGCATTGCACAGGGCATATACCATTACAGAACTATTCATTTTTCTTGTAGATACAGTTGTGTTTTTGTAGCACTAGATATTTGTTTCAAATGCTTTCTGTAGGAACCGTATTGTTAAAAAAAAAAAAATCCCTTTTTGGTTAAATTCTTTCAAGTTTCAAGTGAACTTTTTTCTTAAAACATATTATATTTCCTCATGTACTTTGTGTATATTAGTTGGCAAAACATGTTTTGCATACTGCAGTGCCAAACAGAGAAATATATATCTTTGTTTTTTCTAAATCAAAATGATAAATGATACATTTGCTCCAGAAAATGTGGAATATACTTTCTGAAAATTTAATTGTTTAAGATTTACAGAGCTCTGTTCATATGATTTACATACTATTGGAACTCTTGTGAGAATATTCCTAAGTCTAACCATACTGAATTGGATATCAGGTTTCTATGTTTGAGAAATCAATCTCAAAAATGAAGTTGATCGATCTCATGAAGGCTACTAACAACTTCAGTAATAGCAATATCATTGGGTCAGGAAGAACAGGAACTGTTTACAAAGCTGTGCTTGGTGATGGAACAACATTTATGGTAAAGAGATTACAGGAATCTCAGTACACTGAAAAGGAATTCATGTCTGAGATGGGTACACTAGGGACTGTCAAACATCGCAATCTTGTTCCTCTTTTAGGCTTTTGCATGGCCAAAAAGGAGAGGCTTTTGGTCTATAAAAACATGCCAAATGGCAATCTGCATGACCAACTCCATCCTGCAGATGGTGTGAGCACCCTTGACTGGACTACAAGACTCAAAATTGCAATTGGAGCAGCCAAAGGGTTTGCATGGCTTCATCATAGCTGCAACCCCCGAATCATCCACCGAAACATAAGCTCAAAGTGCATCTTGTTGGATGCAGAATTTGAGCCAAAAATTTCTGATTTCGGCCTTGCCAGACTGATGAACCCAATTGATACTCATTTGAGTACTTTTGTAAATGGGGAGTTTGGTGATTTGGGTTATGTTGCTCCTGAGTACACAAGAACTTTGGTTGCTACACCCAAGGGGGATGTTTATAGCTTTGGGACTGTTCTTCTTGAGTTGGTGACTGGTGAAAGACCCACCAATGTGGCTAAAGCTCCAGAAACTTTTAAAGGAAATCTGGTAGAATGGATCACAGAGCTAACAAACAATGGAAAACTCCATAATGCCATTGATGAATCATTAGTCAGCAAGGAAGTTGACAGTGAGCTTTTCCAATTTCTGAAGATTGCATGCAACTGTGTTCTGCCAACTCCAAAGGAGAGGCCAACCATGTTTGAAGTGTATCAGTTTTTAAGAGCCATTGGTGCTAGATACAATTTCACAACTGATGATGAGATATTGGTACCTACTGATAATGGTGATGCTGATAACATGGAGGAACTCATTGTAGCTCGGGAATGAAGTTATTGAAAGGTATAGTATTTGTCATTAGTATTATATTTTACTGTGTAATTATATATCTCTTACTTTGTCGTCCTAAAATAAATGTTAGTGATGTATGTAGGTTGAGGATCTAGATTCAGTTGTGTGCTATTGACATTGAAAAATCAGTGTAAGATCATCAATCATGGTGTAGATATAGTTGAGTTACTTCTTTCTAATCATTATCTTAATCTGATTTCTTTGTTTTTGTTAAGAAATGGACTTTAACTTAACTCAATCCCACAAAGCTGGCTTATAAGATAAGATTTGAACCCACTTATATATTATAAATTGGCCTACATCTCGAGTTCGATAGGGGTGGAACAACATGTCCAACAAACAACAAATATCGTTAAGATAAACTCTAACAATAGCTCTGATACTATGTTAAGAAGTGAACTTTAACATAACTCAACCTCATAAACCTGACTTGTAAGGTGAGGTTTGCACCTACTTATATATTATAAATTGATCTTATCTCTAATAGACGTGGAACTTCCAACAGTTTTCCCTCTATGTGTGATGGAGATTGAGTTAATAGTTTCTATCACACATATCAGTGTAATGGAATTTTTAAGTTTACAACAATGATTCTTAGACTTGTGCTATGCATGCATGTTTGGTATAGGCTATATAATCCCTTCTACCCTATAGGAGCAACATTTTTCTTTACATTTATTGAGTAGATTCATATTGTGTGGTAAAAGAAGTTTAATAAATGAAATTAATAATTCACAATGGTCCTCCTTTGAAGTGTGTTCCATAATTATGGGGACAAAATGGTCACTAAGAAACAAAGTATTCATGTTCTATAATAGTGTCCAAATTCTTTGTTGCTAAGAAACATTATTATAACATCAAATTTTACGCATAAAAATAATAGAAAATTTATACATTTTGATGTTAGTTCATTAAATATGTTAGTCATAGGTTTAATGACTGAATTAATTGTCATTAAGTTTAATTAATTTAATTTGGGTTTTACATAGAGTGGATTCAAACCAATCAATACGGCAATGTATTTTGAAAATGTTTGAAATATAGACAAATTAGGAAAAATATAGCATTTTTATAATTAAAATGGGAAAATAAATAAAAATAAAGACGTAAGTGGAACTTGTGCGGGCGTACATGCGTGCAGCAAAAATCGACATCTCCAAACACAGGTTCAGTAGGCTACACGGATTCTCACGAGGCGAAATTATTTATTTTTTAAATTATTCATTTCAAAATGTTCTAATAAAATTTATCAAATAAGAGATAAATTTTCCGGAACAATTTAAACTTATTTTGAAATATTTTATAATAAAATAATGAAATTTTAATAGTTTTGGAAAGAAAATTAAAAAGAAAAATCACTTTATGATAATAAATTGTTTTATGAGAAGTTCTGGAGTGAACAAATTGAATAATTAAAAATCAATTTTAAATTTATATTTTGGAAAGATTATGAAATCTACATTTTCAAAATACTTGTTTTAGAACATGTAACTAGAAGGTTTTTTATTTTTATTTTTATTTCTTTATATGTGAGAAATATCGTTTCTATCCTTTTTTGTTATGTTGGTTATAAAAGCTGACAAGATATTTTGTTTTCAGTTAGTAAGTGGTAGTCAAAGTGTAATTCTTTTTCTTCTCTTTCGTTTTGCTCAAGATATGTTGAATATATATTCAGCGTTAGGTGACTCTTTTGTTAGGTTGGAATAATGAGGATTAAATTTTCATTTCACATTATCATTTCTGAGTGATTCTCCCTGCACCTCACGGACTTTGTCCTGCACCTCCAAAATATATTTTAATTCCAAGTATAGCCTTTCAACCGTCAAAATATTTTGGATTTTTAAAAAGTTTGACTAAAAGTTTAACTCTTCCTGACGCATTTCAAACTCAAACCCTACACCCCCTTTCCAAATCTCTCCTCCCTCTTTTTCTCTCCGTCCTCCTCCTGTGCCATTCTTCTCTCCCTAGTATCCTCTACCACCACCACTGTATTTTGTCTCCGCCCTCCCTCCTATGCAAGCATTCGTCCTTCGTGCCAAGATTCTGCGTTCGTCCTTGCCACGCTTTGCGTTCGTCCTGTCGTGGCCTCACACATCTGAGGTGTTTCTGGCGTCCAGGTTAGTACCATTGCATTGCATCTGCTTTGTTTTGTTTGCTGTCATAATCTAGTGCTTGGGTGTTCCCTTCGTGCGTCAGAGTTTCGGTTTTTGTTCGTTCGCCGGAGAGCTTAAACGCCTTTGGAGTTGCGGTCAGAGACGTCCGCAGTTGGAAGTGCGGAAACATAGAACCGCATTTCGATATGCGGAAAGCAAAGAGAAACCGTATTTCGATCTGCGAAAAGCACAAACCGCAGTTCGATCTGCAAATGGCGTGCAGTTTTTGAAAGTTAAGGTTTTTTAATTTTTTTTATTAGGTTAGTATATATTTATTTTATTAGGTTTTATTTTTATTAGGTTAGTATAATAAATTTAATTTTTTATGTTAGTTGTTAAATAAACTGTTTTGTTTTAATATATTTTGAATTATTTTATTTGTTTGTTAAATTTTGTTGAATTTATTATTTTTCAACATATTATTATTTTCGTAATATATTATTTATTATGTATTTAATTTTATTTAAGTTTTTTAATTTTTTATGAAATTGAAATAATTATTAAATTGTTTATTAAATTAAATAATAATTATTATCTATAAATTTTGTTAAATATTATTTTGGATTTATTTGTAATTATTTAATTATTATATATGTAATTTTTTTGAATTTTGTAGCATAACATATAAGAAACGCACTTCAAAGTGCGACAGAAATATATAAAACGCACTTCGAAGTGCGACCACTATGAAACGCACTTCGAAGTGCGGTTAGAAAACATTAATTATGAAACGCACTTCGAAGTGTGGTTAGAAAACATTAATTATGAAATGTACTTCGAAGTGCGGTTAGAAAACATTAATTAATTAAGTTTTGACTTTTTGTTAAATGAAGGGTAAAGAAGTAAAATTGGGGGTGCAGGATGAAGGCAGTGAGGTGTAGGAAGAATCACTCATCATTTCTCTGTCATGGTATCATTGCTGACACCTACTATTTCTTCCGCTTAAGCCTTCTTCCTCATTTTTTTACCATGGCTTCCCTCAACCATCATATTACATAGACACTGGATCACCTGGTGCAAATCCACTTTACCTTCATCCGGGAGAAAATCCCGCATTAGTGCTCGTTTCACCTCTTCTCACGGAGAGCAACTTTCACCAATGGGAAAGAGATATGGTTGTAGCATTGGAGACCAAAAACAAGGAGAAGTTCATTGATGGTACTCTCCCTTGTCCCATTATCACATATCCGCTTCACGAGGCTTGGCGTCGCTCCAATCGAATGGTGATGTCCTGGCTCACACGTTCCATGACTCCTTCGATCAAGCAATCGGTGATGTGGATGGATATAGCCTTAGAGATTTGGAGGGATCTCAAGGATCGATTCTCACATTCGGATAAATTTAGGGTTTCTAATCTTCAGGATTAGATTATCACTTGTCATCAAGGTGATTTGCCTGTTTTTGAGTATTATACGAAACTCAAAATCCTTTGGAAAGAGTTGAAACTCTATAATGTGTTCTTACTTGCAATTGTTTGACTCCTTGTGCTTGTGGACTTCTCGCTAAACTTCATAAAGAAAGAGAGGATGATTATGTGATTTGATTTCTCCGAGGCTTTAATGAGAGTTATGCACAAGTTCGTTCTCAAATCATGATAATGGATCCCATGCCTTCGATTATCAAAACTTTTTCTATGGTTCTTCAACATGAACACGAGTTCATCGACATTTATCTCACAAACATCCTGTTTCAGATTCGTTGGCCTTCACTGTTGTTTCCAATGCTCAACCCCGCTTCAACTCTTCCAACAAAAAGTTCCTTTCAATGCCATCAAGAACACTTCAAAGAACAAAAAATTTTGTGAAAAATGCAAGAAGACCAACCACACCATTGAAACTTGTTATTTTCGCATTGGTTTTCCTGCTGGTTATAAAAAGAACAAGCCCAACACCAAAGCTTCTGCCAGTTTGGTTGAAGTAGATTCCTCTGCTTCCATACAACAACTTGATTTGGATGGTAGTCCTCCCAATGACCAATTCACTTTCTATAAAGACCAGTATCAAGCAATTTTGGCTTTGCTCCAACACAGTAAGGACCATTCATCCTTAGTCAATCAAGCCTCTGTTAAAAACTCAGGTACATCTTCTGCTTCTGTTCCTTGGATATTTGACAGTGGTGCCACAGACCACATCTATCACACCAAATCCTTATTTCATAAACTTCATGACATAAAACCCATACACATTAAATTGCCTAATCACACTACTGTCACTGCCAATTTCTCTGGGAATATTCACATAGGTGACCTATTTCTTCCTGATGTTTATTTTGTACCTAATTTTTCTGTTTACCTCATATTTATTCCCAAACTTGTTTCCATTATTGATTGTATGGCAGTATTTTGTGATTCTCATTGTTTCCTTTTCCAGAAATCTCAATTCAAGATGATTGGAGCAGCTAGGAAGATTAATGGCTTGTACTGTCTTGAAGAATCAAATGTTATGCGTTGCAATTTAATTTTCCAAAATGTTGTTATCAATAAATCAAATGCTTTTGCTGTAAATGTAGTCAATACCAGTGAACTTTGACACAATAGACTAGGCCATACTTCAAATTCTATTTTATAATTGTTATCTTCCCAACATACTGATATCATATACAAGAGTTGTGCTCCATGTGACACTTGTCATTTTGCTAAACATAAGAAATTACCTTTTTCTCTTAGCACCTCCAAGAGTTCTCAATTTTTTGAGTTGGTTCATGCTGACATTTGGGGACCCTTAAACAATGTTTTTATTGATGGTCACAAATATTTCTTAACACTTGTTGATGATTTCAGTAGATTCACATGGGTTTATCTTTTAAAACTAAAAGCCGAGGTCAAAACTGTTCTTCCCAATTTCATACATCTCATTGAAAATCAAATTGACATTAAACTTAAGAGACTAAGGTCTGATAATGGAAAGGAGTTTTTCTTCATTGATTTCTTTTCCTCTAAAGGCATTTTTCATGAAACATCATGCATTGAATCACCTCAATAGAATTGAGCGCAAACACCAACATATTTTGAATGTAGCTCGCGCCTTACTTTTCCAATCTCATT